AAATACACCAATTATAACATGAAGCAATTATGTATCAGTACATCAATCTGATTGGAGCTAAGGGCATACACTGTCTAACATTTCAGGTGTCAAGTTAGATGGTACAAACTACTTAGAATGATCACAATCTGCAAAGATGACCATTAGTGCTCGTGGGAAATTGGAGTATGTCACCGGTGAGGAAAAGAAACCTGAAACTAACGATTCTCGATGGGTACAAGAGAACTACATGGTGATGACTTTGTTGTATAATTCCATGTTTCCCCATATAAGTAAGAACATTTTATGGGTTAACACAGTTAAGGAGATTTGGGACGAAGTAGCAGAAACCTATTCACAAAATGAAAATGTTGCTAGAGCCTATCAGTTGAGAAAAACCATGTGATTGCTACTAGGCAAGGAGATAAGTTTGTTGCTATTTATTTTTCAGCCCTCAAAACATTATGACAGGAGATAGAACATTTGGAGATTGTGGTTTGGGAAAGAAACAAAGATGCAACAACTTATCAGAAGCTGGTAGAAAAGAATACGGTTTTTGAGTTTTTAGCTGGACTTAACCCTTAGTATGATATTGCACGACAACATATTCTTTCTTGAGATAGTGTAACTCTCTCTCTCTCTCTCTCTCTCTCTCTCTCTCTCTTTCTCTCAGGCATATGCCTTTGTGTTTGGGGAAGAGAGTAGGAGGAGTGTGATGATGAGGAACCTAGGCCTTGAGCAATCAGCTATGGTTAGCATAGTGAAGCCTAAGCTGAGTAGGGACAAGAGTGGAAATGAACTGAGGAAGGAGGACAAAAGGGACCTAATCTGTGACTACTGTAAGAAACCCAAACATGCCAGAGATACCTATTGGAATCTTTACCCGCACCTTGTACTGAGCTAGCTTAGAAATAAGAAGGGAAATGTGAATATGGTAGTGACCAGTGATTTATCAAGGCCACCTACTACAGCCTCTCTAGAGTCTGTTGCAGTAAATGTAGTGAGTGCCAAATTGGAGAGATATGGGCAATTCCTGAATCAAAAGATACAACCGGTTCCAACTCATTATTAGGTGGACAACAAGGTGCAGGTGGATCAGGAGATAGTCATTCTACCTCATTTGCACACACAAGTAGTTCACATGCCACTACAAATTATGTATCCACTATAGGTAAGGGGGGACCTCCCTAGATTATAGGCTTAAGAGCCTTAAAACATATGACCAACATTTCCACCATTTTCACCTCATACCACCTCTGCTCTGGTAGAGATAGAGTTTTCATAGCTGATGGATCACATGTTCCCATTGTTGGGAAAGGATCTATAAGGATAACCAATACTATTACTCTACCTTCCGTCCTTCATGTTCCTAGACTAAGCACTAAAATTTTATTTGTTAGTAGCTTGACAAAAAAATTGAACTGTTCAGTAATTTTTTCTTTTGGTCATTGTTTTTTGCAAGATCTAGATTCAAAGATGACGATTGGGAGTGGTCGTGAAGTGAATGGAATCTATCTTCTTGATGCACTTCCTAATCATCAGAGTCATCATGATAGTAGGAGCATTGAGTCAAAGTCAGTGGGTCAGATTATGCTTTGGCATAATCGGTTAGGACATTTGTCTTTTTCTTCTTTGTGTTTTTTGTTTCCAAAATTGTTTGTCTACCAGTTGGTCCAGCTTGGAGTGTAAGAGTTGTCAACTTGGAAAGCATTGTAGACATTCCTTTAAAGCAAGTAATAAAAGATGTTCTTCTGTTTTTTATATTATTCATACTGAAGAGTGGGAGCCATACCATGTTTCATCTATGGGTGGCTATCGGTATTTTCTTCTATTTGTGGATGATTATTCTCGATACTCTTGGATATGTTTGATGAGATCCCATGATGAGGTACCATCTTTGGTTGAACAATTTCATCAGATGGTACTGACGCAGTTTAGGGTACGAGTTTAAGTGTTTAGATCAGAAAATGCCAGTGAATACTTTGAAAAAAAAAAAAAAACTAGCATCATACCTATTAGAACATTGAGTAGTCCATTAGAGTAGTTATACATACACTCCACAATAGAATGGTGTAGCAAAAAGGAATAACATACATATTATGGAAGTAGCAAGAAGCATGATGTTGAGATCTACTGTTCTAGTTCGTTTTTTGGGTGTTGTAGTTCTTATAACAACTTTCTTGATTAATCGGGTGTCTTCTCGTGTTCTTGGATATAGTACTCCATTCAGCCTTCTTTTTTTTTTAGGGGAAAACGTTCCATATTCCTCTAAGGGTGTTTAGATGTGTATGTTTTGTTCGTGTTCTTGGTCCTCACCGCTCAAAACTGGATCTTAAGGCGAAGAAGTGTGTCTTCCTTGGTATGCAGGAAATCAAAAGGGGTATTGTTATAATCCAATCTCCGAGAGTCTATAGATGCCACCTTTTTTCTCGAAAGATTCTTCTCAGAGGGAGTGTTTTGGAGAAAGAAGTGAGCAATCTATACCACTTCCTATTCCAGCCCCTTTGTCCACTCAAGTGTCTGGCCTACCTATCTCACCCATCTTGCCACCTCCATTACGTCTAGCCTCTTAGTGTTTTACATGACAGCACCTATGGCAACATAGGGAGGTTGATTCCACGGCAGAGGAACCCACATCACTCCCTATCGGCTCATCGGAGATTCTAGGTTCAACTGACACAGATCTAGGTATGCCTCTTGTTTCCTCTGATGGTTTAGTTCCTATTAATACTACTACCCCTGCTCCTAACACCATTGTAGATGACCTTGATCTCCCTATTGCACTCAGAAAAGGGAAGAAGTGTACTGCTCATTGCATCTCACATTAATCTTTCCTATAGTAGATTATCTCCTTCCTACTGAGCCTTCCTTTCATCCCTTGACTCTATACCCAAGAGTGTTAGTAAGACTCTCTCCAAACCTAAGTGGAAGACAACAATGCAAGAGGAAATGAAAGCATTGATCAAAAATCAAGCATGGGATATTGTGGATTTACTTGACAGCAATGAGGCAATTGGATGCATATGGGTTTATATAGTGAAGTACAAGGCTAATGGGAGTATAGAAAGGTACAAGGAAAGGCTAGTTGCAAAAGGGTACACTCAAACTTATGGCATAAATTACTTGAAAACTTTTGCACCAGTGGAAAAGATGAGTTCAGTCCGGATTCTTCTATCACTAGCAACTACATACTCTTGGCCACTCTTCCAACTTATGCGAAGAATGCTTTTCTCAATTGGGACTTGCAAGAGGAGGGTGTATTATGGATCTTCTAGTTGGCTTCTACAATGATGTGGAAAAAAAAAGGTATACAGGTTGAAGAAGTCTCTATATGGTTAGAAGCAATCACCTAGAGTTTGGTTTGACAGGCTTAGGAGCGCATTGGTTGTATTTGGCTATACTCAAATTCAATATGATCATACACTTTTTGTGAAGAAAAGGGGGTCATTGGTGCCAGTTTTGATAGTGTATGTGGATGACATTGTAGTCATAGGAAATGATTTGAGATTGATACCTTGAAGAATAATCTACACAAAGAGTTTGAGATTAAGGATCTTGGGGAACTGAAGTACTTTCTGGGAATTAAGGTGGTAAGGTTCAAGCATAGGATCTTCATCTCAAAGAGGAAGTATGTTTTAGATCTACTACAAGAGACAGGAAAACTTGGGGTAAGGGTAATTGATACACCTATTGATTAGAACCATAGGATAAATGCTTCAAAAGGTGAACTAATGAAAGATGTTGGAAGGTATCAAAGGTTAGTGGGGCAATTGCTATACTTATGTATGACACAACCAAACATCTCTTATGCAGTGAGTGTGGTGAGTGAACACATGCATGCCCCACGAGTTTAGCATTGGTAGGTTATTGACAAGATACATTCCTATTTGAAGGGACACCCAGGTAGATGCATATTGTTTCCTGACCATGGACGACTGAAGTTAGAGGCTTACACAGATGCTGATTAGGTAGGGTGTCTAGATGACAGGAGATCTACATAAGGAGCTTACACTCTTATTAGAATTAGTTTCATGGAAGAATAAGAAACAGACAGTTGTGGCAAGGTCAAGTGCAGAAGGTGAATACAAAGCCATGGCACATGGTGTTTTAGACAGTTGTGGCCGCCCCTTTCATTAGATATACAACCTAGTTAAAAAATGTTTAGAAAGAAAATTGAAGGGAAAATATGGTAAACTGGACAAGATGGAGGGTGATGATTGGGAAAATATTTAGTGTGTTAGAATGATTTGACTTTATCTTGTTGAAGGCCCTACACCAAAACTATGGGAAAAGTTGGAAAAACTGTCTGAGAAAAACTTAACCATGATGATTTAAATAGTAGTTCATGTGATGTAATATAAAAAAATTATTTTTTCTGTAGTTTTTAACAAAATAAATGTGTATTTTCTTCTTTGTCTTATTCATATTTTATCTTTATTTAATTTAACTAATAGTTTATCAATTTAGGTTTCCGATAACCTTATAATGTAAAGTGTTTCCTGCACTAGCCTTAATTGGCATAGGGAATTAAAATCACACATTATTGGTAACTTTTCCTTTTTCAGCACAAATTCTCAAAAGTATGTTTTGGTCTTTTGGATTGTTTATATTTAGATATAAGATGGACCAGTTAGAAATGGCCTTTAGGAGACTTGCTTGGCACAGACCAGTGTTTTCACCCCAACATTGGTCCAGGCTAAGATTGCAATTTTATGAAAATTTGTAGTGGCCCAACTCGAGGGCCCAGGCTAGATGAAGTGTAAATTCTTCAAATTAACCTGACTTGCACCCCTTTGATCCAGGCAGTCAAACTGATGAACTAATCTCCTAGGCAACTGACCGAGTCCTGGGTTCGTGATGGTTTGAATGGTTCATTAGGCTAACCACTAAATTGGACTGCCAAACCCGCTACCGGCCAGCTTTTCTGGGAGGGTGTTTGTTTGGTTCGGTTTTTAAAACATTGACAGAGACTCTTGGTAAAACATTACTTCAAGATCAGAAAACCGCACCAATCACAGGGCTGAAACCCTAAGGTTGGAGACTGTAATGCTACATATAACATGCATGTATGTATGCCACTAAGGCAAAATGTGTGGATATAGATTAAGTAATGATTAAAGAATTGATACAATGTCAACCCAGCAGCCTTTGACAATATTCTATCATTTTTGTCATCTGAGGACCCTTTCTCATCTAGAACTTCAGATTAGGATGGCTCTAGGTTCACCTCTAACAAGCTTCACTTTATCTGGCTTCATACTGGATCTCCCCAAATTCAGGACAAGTGCACCTGTTGTTCTTTCTACTATATTTCCCCCTTTTCTTTGTCTTGATGGGTATTTCTTCTGTTATTCTGCATAGGTGTTCCAGCTGACCAGTATCTCAATCGGTTATAGCATGTTCCCAAATCAACCTCCAACCTTTAGTTATTGCCTATAACCTCCAACCTTTAGTTCTTGGCTATAACCATAAAGCATAAATTCCATTGAACTTTCCAAACGGTGACTATATAAGAGCCTACAATGTATAACCAACTTGAGATCTCTGGTTTCTGGATCTGAAAGCTAAGAGGCTCTACAATCCTCGGCTATCATCACAATTCACCATCACAACAAACTGTTGATTGGGTGCTGCTATGGACAGCCTCAAATGCTTGAGCACACACACTTGAGAATCCAGTTAATGCCTGGAAAACATTAGGAAGGCTCGTTTGTAGGTTGTTTAGAGTCATGGCTCGGCTGGCCTGGGCTGAGATCAAATACTTGGCCTTCTCATCCTCTACCCGCCTCCTGAGGGACTCAGTTTTGGCACGCTTGACTGATAAAGGATGCTTGGTTGCCAAGCTAGAAACTGCATCATCAGTGGAAATCCCCTCAAGCTTCTTTTCCATGTCATCCAGTGTGTTCAATTCCTTCTGCAATCTTCTCTCAAGCCTATCATACTTTTTTTGCAAGTTGCTTTCTTCATTCTGCTGCAAGACTATGGAGTGGATGATTGACAGAAGGCTCTTAATGGCGTCAGAGGCTACCTGTTAGCAGTCAATAGCATCTACAATTAACACTAAGTGGAAAGATGAGCAGTATGGCATGTTCTACTTGTAAACCATGAATTCTAATTGTTGCGCCAGAACATCCAGTATTACATACAATGAATCAAATTTCTTGAAAATGTGGACAATTCTGGAAACTTCTTGTTCATGATCCCAATCATTTCAATGGGCAAAACAACACACAACACACTATTCAGTGATTGTAACCATTTCCACCAATGAATTATCTGGGCAACTAGGCCATTAATCAACATCCACCCAAACAGTCTAAATAGGTTAGATGGTCACAATCACCGGACACCATTTTTTGGTATAGGGGTTCTTCCTGTTAAGGAACCATCAAAATGTCCCCACAATCTTTTAATGTAGATTATAAACATATTTATTCTAGATACTTTGACTAGATTTCACCCGTATTAAGTTGTCAGAAATATAACATAATTATCATATAGCAATTGTTTGTACCTTCTCAGGTAACCTGTCGAGGGCAAGCTGCCATTCTTCACAGAGAGCATAAACACCTGATGAGCAGTCATACTGTTGTTGGTCATCCAAAAGACTGTCAGTGAGTTGGATCCACATGTTAAGTGCTCTTACAAAATCTCGCTGGGACTTTAGAAGGTTGCAGAAGCTGTTGTACCATGCATTAACCTCTGCTTCAAGCTGGATAGTGGCTTGGCGATGGTATTCAGTGGTGGTCTCCATGCTTGGATGGTCTATGACGTGGTTAACTTGCTGGACAATATGGTTCTGAACCTGATGACACTCATACATTGTTCTCCACATGCGCATAAGCCTGGAAAGAAAAGAACCGAACCAAACCAATCAATGGGTGAGAGAGGGGAGGGAGGTGAAGGCTGCTATTGTGCCTACTCACAAACCAAGATTGGAGTATCACTACATTTCACACCATACACTGCTCCTTCATGTGATCAATTGATCCCAAAAGGATTTTAAAAAGAGTAATACTAGATCATGGGCCTTCGAAACAGTTTTGAAGTGGAGAAAGGAGTTGAAGGTAGAGGCAAAGACGTTTCTGCTGGAAGAAATCAGAGTCAGGGGTTTCACATCATTGAAGGTTAAAGAAGATAAGGCCCCGTTTGGCATCATTCAATTGGAGTGAATCTCTTGATTCTCACCTTTCAAAGGATGAGAATCATGTTTGGGATGGCCAATAACTACAATTCTTTTTTTAATCAAGAATGAAAATCATCCCAAAATCCGCAATTCTCAGAAGTGAGAAAATTTTGCTTGTAAGAAGCAGATTCTCGCTACATCTTTTTACATTTATGAACATGTGTGCCACATGCACATGTGAGACTGGGGGATTTCTGAGATTTCAAATACAAATAAGCTAGTCAATGGAAAACCCTATCTCCATTTTTCTTTATCCTTCTTACCCCATCTCCTCCAAAAGCCATCTTCTTCACTGGTAAGACATTTTTTTTTCATTCTTTTTCATTTTCATATTTGAAAATCCATCCCAATGGTCTGTTCTTCTCATATTTACTTCATTTTTTTGTTATTCACCAACGAATATTTCTACCACAGCCGGTGCTTGGAGAATGATAAATCATCCTTTCTTCCCCAGATGGTGTAGGTGAGTGTGGCTATACACCGACAAATCTTTCTTTCCTCCTTCCAACAAATATGGGTTTGATTTTTTTTCTTTTTTGAATTTATACACAGCTGGAAAACTGTAGATCACATATACACATATCTCTTTTACTTTGGGATGTTTTTGTTTGGTTTTTTGTGATACATTGATGAATAAATGGGTGATTTTTTTATAATACATCCCCCTGTTTCATTGTAACCTTTGTGTTTAACTTTTGTGATAAAATTTAGATGTTTGTGTGATAAATCTATACAGCTCCTATTTCTAGTAATCTAAAGAGAGGAAAAAAAAGGAATTATTTGAGATAGTTTGAATTTTTCTGTTTAAGAATTGATCTGAAAAAAGCAAGGTCTACCAAATTTTTCTGTTTAAGAATCAGTACTCTGTACCAAACGCATGCACAGATTCTCAGAATCCAGAATCCATTCTTTTCTGGATGGATTCCAAGGATGAGAAACAGGAGAATTGATGCCAAACAGGGCCTAAGAAAATGAATGTCTATCTGGGTATGGCTATGTACTCGGTGAAAACACAAGGATGGAATATTAACCTGCAGGTAGAAGGAAGTTACATAGCAGAACAAAAGAATTTAAAAGGGTGGTTTTTAGTACTCACAGGGCATTTCAGCTTTGGTTTGCAAAAAGATTATTTGCTTCCCAGAAGGTCGAACACAGTTGCAGATTTGTTACAAGAGAATCAAATGAGAAATGCAAAGGAACTTCAGGCAGAAGAGGTGAGAGAATCTCACAGAGTAAGCCTGGAGAACGTAGAAGAAAGAAGAAGACAGAAATGGAGGAACCTGGCAAGAAAGCTTTAAAGGTACCGTTGTTCTGCTCCATGATGACTCCAAAGGTGGTTTTATAAGGAAACAAGAAGATTTGGGAGAATAGATGGATGGTGTCAATGAAGAAGGATTGGCACACAATCTTGGAAGAAGTTTCCAGGAAGATGGATTTGGAGGAGACAGCGATTCTCATGCCTTTTGAGTCTAACAGAGCTATTCTGGACGTGTGTGAGGTGCAACCATGCAACTGAGTTCCTCAACTATTGAAAGTTTGAAATCAGTGCAAGAATTGTAATGGAGAGATGGTACCCTTTGTGCAATGTATGGTTTAGAGAGGATGGGAGTATTTTGCTGAAACTTCTAGGGTTGCCTTTTGACTTATGGACAGAATCCATTTTTGAGAAAATAGGCATGGCTTGTGGAGGTTTCCTGGAAGCTTCAAACTTAGTCAGTCTTTTTTTTTTTTTTGATGAGCAAACTTAGTTAATCTTCATGCTGTAAGGGTCAAATTATTTGGAGAAAAACCAGAAGTGACTCCTCATGCCTTGGATCTGTTTTATGGAGTTTGGATCAAGATTTGGATAGAGTTGGAAGCAGAAGTGATGCTGTGGGGAGGGCAAAGTGGACACCATGTGGTAGCGGAGGATTGGATGGAAAGAAGGAATATGAACAGGCAATGAAATCTCTCTCAACAAATAAATAAGAAAATTTAAATTTGCAAAAAGGCAAGAAACAGTTGCCCAAGGAGGAAGCTCTTCTCAACCGTTGGATGGTTCTCAAAGGGCTTTGGTTAGGAAGTTGGCTATTCTGGGGCCGACACCTGTTAAGCCTCACACCCAGAGTCTGACAAAGGCTTTTAATGAGCCTTTGCATGCGCACAGTGTCCTTTTGTTGAATGGGAAACCGAAGAGTCAAGAAGTTGGGTTTTTGTTCAACCAGGTTGAAAAGTCAAACTGGGTTAGTCCAGGAACCTGGGCCTCCTCATGAGACTATATCTGTAAGTTGTCATGTGAAGGAGAGAGATGTAAAGGAAATTGGGCCTTGTTCTTTATAGTTAACTTGTGGAGGGAGTAATCCTGAAAGCGAGTTGCTTTTCTTTGACAGGCCCAAAAACAACGGTTCACATGTGACTTGTACTAGACATGTTAAGGAGGGTGGGGCTTTGGTGGACGGTCTTTTGTTCCATCATCATCTTCCTCGATTGGGATTTACAACCTTGGACTGATGGGAGAAAGGGGACAAAGGGTCCAAGGGTTCCCACAGGCCCACAGGTAAGAGTTTAGAGGTGAAAGGTAGGGGTGATTATCTTTGGTTTATCACATGATACAACTACTGAAACAAAATTCGATTTCAGGAGAAATCTTTTTGAAGGATAACAGTACTGAGAGAATTGTCCAGCCTACAGAAAATGTTGGTTTTGAGAAGACTGAAGGTGTGGATCAACTGGAAGAAGAGGAAAGCCCAGATGTTTGTACATTGGAAGGAGGAAACTTGTTTGTGTTATTAGAAGAACGGAAAGGGATGATGGTAGGGTGTCGTCAAATTTGGGTGATGAAAAGGGTGGGTGTTCTGGGTTATGTGAAGATACTTTGGGTAAGGAGGTTTACAAAGAAGGGGGAGAGGAGGAGTTGTTAGGGAGGGCCTAGTAAAGGACATAGAAAAGTTCGAAGAGGGGAGTCGGTTGGAGGATGGGGCAGAAAAAACAGAAAATTCCTTAAGTGGGGAGTTGAAAGTGGGGAAGTCTGGGGAGTTTGTTGGGGATCAGGAGATTGAAGTTGGAGAAGATAAAGAAGGAAAGGGAAGTAGAGAAAAATATGGGAGCAAAGCAGACCATTCAAAGGTTTATAGAAGGAAAAGGAGGTATGGAATGAAGCCCCTTCAAGAAGATAAGGAATGAGAAGAGGAATCTGTTGAGGGTGTGTGGACCCAGAGAAGGATGAAGTTCTCATTGATGAGACTCATCATGTTGGAGGTTCAATTGACTTAGACATGGCGGTAAATAAATCGGTAGAGGTGAGTAAGATTTTGTGTTTGTTTCTCCTTGGAGGGGAGGATTTCGCAAGGGAAACCTTTAAGGAGGTGGAGAAGTCTAATTTGCAGCAGAAGAATGAAGAGAAGAATGATCTGTTTCTCAATGAGTCAAATGCCTAGGAAAACAAGGTGGGGGTTTGTTCCATACCTCAAAAAAGATTGGAGGGTGAGGCAGATCCAGAAGTCAGAAAAATTGCCATTGTTCAAGTTTCAAGAGTTTTTACAAGGCTGAAAGGGGGTCTATTTGGGATTGGTTTGAACAAGAAGAGCAAGAAGACAGAGGCCTGTTAAAAGGATGAAGTTGCCTAACATAGATGACAGAACTCAATTTGTAGAGTAGTTAGTTCATGGAGGGGTTGTTCTTTGGGAAGGGCTGGTTTGCTTGTAATGGTATTTTGTAAGGAGTGCTGGGGGTTTATTTTTCTTCTCTAAGCTTTTCTGTGGATGTTATCAGAAAGGATTGGGTTTTTGCTTTTGTTTTCTGAGTGTTTTCTTAGTTGGATTCGTGGTGGCCTAATGGAGAGCCTTGGTTTTTGTTTTACTTCGTTGTTTTTCTCTTTGGGGTGATTTCTTATCACCTTCTGTTGTATCCTCTTCCCCTCATTTCTAATATATTTTCTGTTTTATTGATCTTCAAAAAAATGCTAGATCAGGGGCCTGTTTGTCACAGAGACCTCAAATCATCACAAGGGAAGACAAACATAAGCAGAGGCTTTTATACAAATAGAGAGGATTATAAGATGTCAGGCTTTGTCTTTTGTTATTTAAAGGGCTCATGACAATCGAGCTGGATAAACCATTATCCACCTTATGCAGCCACTGGGCCATGTATTGTGTGTGCACGAGAGAGAGAGAGAGAGCAACTGTGCATGAATCTAGGAGACTAAAGTGACCACAAGGACTAACTGACTCATGAAAATTGACCTTCCCTTGGTGAAATTAAATCTCCAAATTACCTAATATGCATTATGCAATTCTCAACTTCTCTTCTACTCCATTTGATCATCCTTGGGACCTCACCAAAAAGTCTAATTCCACAAAACAATAAAAAAAATGGCTAAGTGACTGCCAATGTATGCCACATGGAACAAAATCACAACTAATTGGGAAAACTAGCTATGCATTCACAGGAAGGGATATTAACTGGTCAGGTTCAGTATGGGTTTTGTTCAACCTTAACCCTGACCTGAAGGTACTCCAACCTGACCAGAACCTGACTGAATGAAATGTAAATACACAAATAAACCCAACCCTATGGATCATAACCAATTCCAACCTAACCTAACTCAAGAACAATACCTCTGTTCTTATTAATGGCTAATATGTACACATTTTTCAATATCACTGTTACTTTTAAGTTTTGTGAATATTTCATTGTGAATAACTATCACTAGTTGTGCACACCTAAAGGTTTATGGTGAACATAATTTCAGGCTTCATTTAAAGAAAGAAACATAATTTTATGTATTCTTCTAACAAGAGAGAAATCTGAATAACTCATCACCAAAATATCCAAACCAACAATATCATAACACCTACAACAATATGGAAAAGAAATAAAAACTATGACTTATTAATAATGTCAAGGGGCTGGGTTAGGTGTGGCCATGTGTGTTTACCTCAATCTGAACCTGACCTGATACCTGATTAATGCTGAACCAAACCCAAGCCAATAGGTTTAGATCAAGGAGGGTTTACCATATAACCCAACCCATTGACATCCTTGATCCCAGTCCCAGGTAACCTATTCTCATGAATGCATGGATGTGCCCATACATGTGTGTGAGAAATAGCAGATATCAGGATTCTCCCCAACCCACTTAACTAGTTAACAAACTTATAGTGTTATATATTAGATTATGTATTATTTTTCCAACCTTTAAATTTACTCCACTGGAGAGGGCACCTAAAACTTATATAAATTAGATGCTAAATATAGTGAAAAACAGACAAATATTATAAATTGAACAAAGCTCATCAAATGTCAAATATGCATAGATTCCTTTTAAAAATGTCTTCGATTAGGATGTCGTGCATTGAATTTTTGTATGGGAGGATTTTAGAGACATGCTAGTAGACTGCACAACTAGAGGGATAGACAGATCGTTACAATCTCATAGTTGGGTCTCCACCCCCCCCCCCCCCCGGCAGTAAAAATCACCTTGAATTTTAATAGGTGTTCTCTTTGGAGTCTAGGACGATTAGAGAGATAAGATTAGGGATATTTATAAGTTGTTTTAGCTGTGTTACAATTGTCTTAGAGGCATCTGGAATTTTCAACATGATATCAGAGAGGCTATACCTTGGCTTCCAAAGTCCAGTAGCTGGCTAAATCAAATGGCTCACAGGTTGCCAGGAAAAGGTGAAACAATAACTGAACAATAGAACTACTCTCAGGTTTGAGAAGGGATATTGTGTCTTTCTTTCTTTTTTTTTTTTTGGCCTTTCTTTCAGGAAAAAAAAAAGATCTAAGATTAAAAAGGGGATGCCTATAGCTTTTACCCAGCAGATAAGTCAACCAGTTGAGGATGGAGCTCCTTGTCTCTGATATGCAATATAGATGAGCAAATCCTACTTATTGATTGTTGCAAACACAAGATGTTGGACTGCAAACTCTCAATACTTGAGCGGATCTTCTCAATCTTCATCCAGTCTTGATCCTCATCTTCTTGTTTCTGTAGCAACAAAATTTTCTTCTCATAATCCAGTTTGAACATCTCTTCCTCCTGCAGCAAAGCATTCCTAGAAAGTAAATACATGTATCAATTAAAGAATAGAACTGAAATTTCCAATAGTAACTTATAAGATGGACAGTTAGACAGATAAAAAAATGATAGATCATTCATCAGAAGTCCAGATAACTAATCAAAAACAAATGTAAGGACAGGAACATGGAAAGAAGCCATCAGACCTTACTATGGCCAAACACAAAGTTAACAAGATAATCCAGGCATCCAATCAACAGGTATCTGGATAGTCTATTTTCCAGCATCCAGAAGAACTTTATGTCAGTAAGAAAATGCATTCATACGCGCACACTAGATAAGCTTTGCAAATCTGGGACCAAAGCCATACCCAAGGATAGACTTCTAGGTGTGGTTGTTGATGTTAGTTAGGACTAGACATGCTTCTCATTCAAGCTCATAATTAAGCCCAAACCAGACCTTAGATATCAGTATTTGTTGGCATCTGGCATGGATGTCAACTTTTCATGTTTGGTTTGTGGTGTGCACTAGATGTCATGTCTGATATGCCAATCTCCAATAATATGTAATGGGAACATGGCAATAAATTAAACTCAAGTATTTAAAAAAAAATAAAAAGCATACTAAAATAAGAGATTGGATTATTGGCAGCTTAAGGGATGTATCCCTTCTTAAGATATCTTGTTTAAGCGTTCCAAGTTTTCTTCTGACTTTACCTTGGAGCATCATCAAGATGCCAGAAGTAATGTCATGCCAAGTGCGGAGTGTTGGCTTGGTTAGATCTTCAGTTTCAAAGTCTCCTTGTAACACTGATAAATATACACTCAATTCAGCCTTAATCCCAACTATCTTGGGTGGGGTATATGAATCCTGCCCTTCTATTGTTCATTATCAAGGCCCATATTTTCTGTCAAATTGCAAGTCTCTAAATCATTTCTTACCACTTCAGCCTATGTTTCCTTTCATCTTTCCCTTGGTCTTTTAGAGCCTTCTACKTGTTGCTCATCATCAAATCATCTGAATTAACCCTTGTTTTAAAAGGCTTAATCCTTGAGGCATGAGGCCTATGCCTTGAGGCGAGGCACACAGATTTTGCCTCAAGGCTTAGGCCTCACAACTTTGATGTGAGGCTTAAGCCTTAGTTTCTCTTGGTGTTTTAGGGGAGTTCAATGCAAAAAGGGCCAATCAAGTTCTTAGTTTCTCTTGGATATATCAAGTGGTTTTTCTTATTATTCTAAATCTAACATCCCAAGTTTGTTATTTTTCTCATTTCTTTTCCTAATGGATTTATTTTCCTTTTATTGATTTTTTTTTTGGCATCGATCAAATTAACTAAGTTATTTTCTTTCTTCTAAACTATTGAATGACCATAAATATAATATCCAATTATACGGATGATTCTTTATGTGTTTCCTTTCTTGTAAATTGGTCATTTGAATTATTTGAGAACTTTGCATTTTGAGACATGAAATGTAAAATATTTATAATTGTTAGTTGATTCATTATTATTTTATTTAATGCTGAAACTTATTGCTTATAAACTTTTATTATATGGATATTTATACCTTCTATCATTCTAACTTGGCATATTATATGTTATTTATAAACTCTAATTAATTGTATTCTTAAGCTTTGCCACTTACGTGGTTACGCCTTGAGGCTTACGCCCCACCTTTTTGGATCATTATGCCTCAACTACGCCTTTAGCCTTTTAAAACCTTGAAATTAACTTTTGCTCATCTTGCAAGTGGTAACCAATCAAGGATACTCTTAAGTCTTTTCTAATACACTTTTCTTTTCTATAATTTCCAGTCCTGCTACTCATCTATCTAAGTATCCTTATCTTAGATACACTTATTTTCTGAAAATGTTATTTATTGATTGGCAAAAACTCCATACTAAATAATGTTGCTGCTCTTATAGCTAGCTTATAAGATTTAGATGATTAATACTGTTGGGAATATATGACTTCTGCGACATTGGAACAGATGCCACCCATAAGGCAGCTAACTAAACAATTACATATTCACAGGAGCATGATATAAAGAACATAAGAATATAGTCTCCTCAGTGGTCAAATCAATGGCAACAATATAAGATTCTTGCCACTGATTTGACACTAAATATAAATAAAATCCCATGAAATTAGGAAAATATAAAAATAAGCTAAAGATAAAGAAATACTGAATTCCAGTAGCACAATTTAACTGCTTGCACCAAATTACCTTATTCCAAGACTAAAAGAAAATTTACCTTAATTTCCTGATAAAGCCTTTGTTCTTCGGTATATAGTTTCTCCAGTGTGATGCAAAGGGCACCAGGCATGCAAGGTTCACTGGAACCATGGTTTTCAATAGAATCCCTGCTGGACTGAAGTGATTTAGAAGACCAACTCCATGACAATGCACTAAAGACTTTTGCAGACTTGAAACTCTTCCCTGTTAATGAAACAGTATTAGAATATGCTTAACAGCTTTATACTAGAGCAACTATAATGATAAAAAGATCATGCACATAGATAAGAGATAGAATAAAGCTTCAATACCAATCATGTGGACTACAAGGATGAGTACTAACAACCCTCCATGCATATGTGAGAAGTGGTTCAGCATGTCCAGATAACCCATTTGGGATCTCAAATTGTTTAAATAGTAACAAAAGAAACCTCGTATGAAAAGAATAGTGATCAGATGTGATGATCATAACCATTCTATTTATTAAATTCTTTTGATAAATTGGAAATAAAAAGCTAGCAAAGTTTGCATAAGGAATAGTGCAAAGTAAATGGCTATGATGATAATGTATATTTTTAACATGGGAAAAAGTGGGATGTGGAAGGGAACTTTCTGTGCCCTGAGTGACCACATATAAAAAATCACTTATTGATAAATTGAACTTATGTTCATATAACTTAAGAAATGATTGCGGGGGGTTCCTGCAAAAGGTGGTTTCTAAAATAAGGAGCAAAATCCATCCAAGTTCAAGAAAATCAACAAAGCTCTGAAAATTCTGAAGCCACCAAAATTGAGCCATAAGCAACTGAATAGACCAGGTTGATGCTTAAATCTAATCTAGAGTCCCAAATCCAATTCTAAGATTACCATTCTGTATCCACCAATTACATACAAATCTAATAGTGCCTTCTTTGAAAACAAATTTGTGAGTCAGATTGGAATCGACTAATGTTGGCCCCACAACATCATACTGACCACCCATTTGGCCATTTCAAATGGAGAAGTCATTCTGATCAAAAGGATATACTAACCTAAAGGTGAGAAACCAACTATGTTGTGCCAAAATGACAGCAAAATATTAATGAGGATAACCCAGATGTACATTCAATACGAAGAGAGGACCTACATACTCCTAGGATCACGGAAGGAAGAAAAACGTTATATTCATGGATTTCCATAAAATAGAACAAGTAAACAGAAGGGGAAAATATGAAAAATAATAAGCAATTCCTGGTGCTATGAAAAAGACACTGGTGCTAAAGTAGTGAAGCTTTTAGTTTTTCGTGTCTTTAATAGAGAAGCTGATGAAAGAATTAAGCCCAACCGAAAAAGGGAGATACTAATTAAAATTGGAGGATCAGGAAAAGAAAACTAGTTTTAAAAGGAAGAAAAGATGACTATTACTATTATTTTCTCCAAAGTTTTGGTGAAGAGGGTCACCACTGTTGATATCCAGAAGAACTGCTATTTCCTTTCCCCCAGCGGAAGCTTTGAGGAAATAATCATCCAGCTCCCTAACAATTCCCGCCAAGGTCTTCTGGCTTCTCCATATCACCATGGACATCTCTCCAGTGTCCTTTGTATACCAGCTTATCCTGGAAGAATTATCGTCTGGCAATTCTACCGTCAGAGGCTTCTGAGGAAACGATTGCAGAACAACATCAGCGACAACTTCCTCTCCTCCTCCTCCTCCTCCTCCTCCTCCTCCTCCTCCCCCTCCTCCTCCTCCTTCGTCTTCTTCATCTTCAAATTCTGTATTAGTCTCAGCCCACACTTCCTCCTCAATCTGCTGGGCCCGCTCACTTTTGTTCTGCCGAGGTGGAGAAGAAGTGCCAAAAGGATCCCAGAAATCCCAAGAAGAGCTCAAAGCGTCAGGCAGCGGCGGGGTGGTGCAGCTGTTGTCCTCAGTTATTTCGATACATTCTTCTTGAATGAATTCCTCTTTCCTGTGATCTTTGGCATTCCTTTCGTCGGGGCTATACGAAGGTGGAGGTGGAGGCGAAGGGGGCAAGGGAGGAGGTGATGGAGGCAATGCCAGTCCAAAGGGTGGATTATCAAGCTCCAGAAACTCAGATTCGGTGAATTGCCTCAGTGTTATCCCTGTATTCTTCAGAGATTGCAGATAAGCGATCTGAGCAGCAGCGAATTGTGCCCGCAACCCCACTAATTTTTTCATCAACTTCTTTCTCTCCTTGCATATCTGCACCCTTTCCTCCTTGTCAATCCTCGAAGCCACACAACCCATCTCTTCGGTAAAGGAGCCAGTAGAGAAGAGTGTCGGTCTCTAACTTCAGCTCACACTCAGAACAATAAAAAATTAAAAATAGAAAAAAAAAGACCCAAAATGCAGATCGAGTCCAGTTAAAATGGAGTTTCGAACTCACAGTGAGAAACCAATAAAATTATTTTTTATTTATCTTCCATAACATGCGTCCCCATTTACACCTCATGACCTCAAGGAAGAAGAAGAAGAAGAAGAGTTTCTACTCTCGAGTCCAACTTGCAAATAAAGCTGTGATTAAAGAATGAAAAGAAATGAAGAAAATCCTAGATGGGTCCTCTTTTTCCTCTGATATCCTCAGCGCAGAGAAAAATATAAAAAGTAGAAAAACACTGCCTCTGACACATGTGCAGTCAAAGATAATCGTTTCATGAAATACAAATGCCTAAAATCTCTCTGTCAAAAAGCAAAATCAGGGCTAGAAAAACGCCAAAATACACAGACAGAGAGAGAAGCAGATAAAGGAGGAATCATCGAGTAGGAGAAAAAGCGGCAAGAGACATTCAAGTCTGTCTCTGATCGGTGCTGTGGCCCTCAAAGCAAGACTAAACAATCCATCATCTATTATTCATCACACCCCATTGTGTAGCCTTGCTCGAAATCCAATACCCACCTCAAAGTTCAAAGCATCCAATGCCAACAAGGTGGCACAATTTAGCACACGAATTTAAATTAAAAAATTACTCAGCGGTCACGACAAGTCTTCTTGAACCTCAGCATGATAACATTCTTTGTCTGCTCCCTTATCCACTGTTCCTACTTTCACTGACCAGTCCATGTGCGCATCTTAGCACTGCTGCGTACTCTAGCATGCGCATTTTAGCAAAAGAAGGCAACATAGAACATGAGCATCTGAATCTCTCTTGTCGAAGTGCAAACGGAGACAAATCGAAGCTTCAAATCGGACTTTGTCCCATCTTGCTTCTTGCAGAGCATCAAAAGGATTGCAGCTTTGATTCGAGACAAGACTGAGGGACGAGTTTTGTCGAGCACATTTAGTGCAGCTCCTCCTCTGTTTAGAATCTTTAGATTCGATTTTGCTTCAGTCAATGTTTCGATTCCTTATTCTCTCTTGATTTAACGAGAAAGGACCGACAGGCACCGATCTGCAGCGCGAGAGAAACAAGTGCTGCAACTAATCCGTCGAATGAGTTCAAGATTTGCCCGCTTTCTCTGCCGCTGGTCGTCACTGTTTCGCCGTGGCGGACTGGCCGTATTCTCCTCGGAAGATGCTGCCGGTAAATTTTCAGTACGTGTGTGTCTATCGATGATCTAGTTAGGTGAGGCTTGAGTTAGCCCATGTAACCCAAGTCCAGCCCATATACCATGATCCATGGACCTCAGGGTGAACTTCGAGTTGGGGGGGACCTTGGGGCAATGGACATTTTATATTTTATAAAAAAATGAACATTTTCTGTTTTAATTTTCTAGGGATTAAGTATACATTTGCAGAAAATATGTGTGCCTTATCCAAGGTTATTAATAAGATATATCATTAACTATTGGGCGGGCACCCCTCCTCATCCCAACCCCATAGCCAAGGTTTTCTATTCCGTCCTTGGTGGAGGGGTGGGTTTAGGTCAAGTCATCCATTTTTATTAAGGAAGAAGAATTTTTGAATTTTTCTTGTCTATATACAATCATCTAAAAATAATTTAATTTGAGGATATTTTAGAAATAGGGTTGTGGGAATTTTAGGGATACTTTAGGAATTGGGTTATGACAATTTGAAGTACTTTAGAAATAGAATTATGGGATTCTAGGATTCTAAGAATTTTATAATAATTTAGAAATATTTTAAAAATAAAAATTAAACCTAACCATATTTTACAAATTTACAATCGGGTTCAGAGAATTATATGCAAACCCTGTCCTTGGTTCAAAGTAAAAATGTTTTCCCCGTTCTTGCCCATTCCCGTTTAAGATCGAGAAAAACTGGCCCCATTTGGGGTGAGGCTCTGGTTTTACAATAAACATTGTTGATGTAGGAATACTTAGTGGGCCTTAAATCGTGCCATGAGGCATTGGCCAGATCAAATCCTAGCCACACATCACCAATTGCTTCCAACCACTCCTAAGGCAAGGTTAGCTATAAATGAAAGTGCTCATCTCAAGGTAAGCATATTCAGAATCCCAAGAGAATCATTCATAGCTATTAAGGACTAAGCTCTGAGCCCTCGTCTTTAGCCTGGTCCTACCCCTCTTAAGCACTCGACTAACTTGACCATTGGAGTCTTTGCCCCTAGGATAATACCTGGGACCTTTGACGTGTGTTCTCTTATTTATAGGTCGAACCTGTCAGTCTCAGAAATTAGTGAAATCCCCTTGTTGCCCTCAACCTCATATTTGGTAGCAACAATTGGCGACGTCTATGGGAACGTTTTCAAGACTTCCCTTTAAAACAACCTAACCAATCAAGTTTCTAGCATGGCTGATAAGCAAGACAACACTCATAGCACTTAGAACCTAGTCACGATGGACCAATTTAAGCTAGTCCTAGAAAGGCTGGACAACCTAGCCTAGAAGTTGGACGTGGTAGGGCATCCGATAGGAGGCTACCTACAAGGTGGCCACCTCGTTGGAAGCCAGGGGCAATATAGTGGATGATCCACCCATGCACCACCGGGTCAGCGCTCGATCTACCAAGGGAAGGCCAACCCCTCAACATCCAACAATAGCGACCGATAGGCTAGCAAGCCCCCGTCGAAGACCTCTTGGCTCCCTACCGGAGAGGCGAACCTATGGGGTCCCACAACAACCATAGGGACCACGATTGCCATCATCGCCATGCAGAGAGCAATCGAAATGACGGCGGGCACTCTGCCCACTACAGTCCCCCTTCGAGGATTGGAGGCCGATGCTACGCCTCTCCCCCACTAGTGTCTGACCTTCGTGATCTCCTCAACAATCGTTGAGCTCACAAGGCTCAGAATGTACTAGCATCCGAACACTTCGGGAATAGGGCCAACCCGTCACACGTGAAAGAAAACCTAGACGAGGTTCAGGCCCCTATTAACCGAAATCTCGGTGACCTTCAAAAGCAGATGCCATCCAAGATCAAATTCGGCAAGTGAAGGAGAGCCGAGGTGATGCCTCCACCAGTCAGAACCTCTCATCTACCCGGATGGAGGCCTTCACCAACTCCATCACCTCAAAGTCACTCCCACCTAACTTCAAGGCTCCCCACTCTAGAGACTTATGATGAGAGCACGGATCCAGATGACTACTTGGAAAGCTTTAAATTACTCATATTCCTCTACGGTACTCCAATGCCCTGATGTGTCGAGCCTTCAAAGCCACCTTCAAAGGAGTAGCATGTAGATGGTTCTCCACACTCCCCTCTTAGTCCGTTAACTCTTGAGACCAGTTTGCAAATCTCTTACTCTCCCACTTTGTTAGTAGTCGACAGTGCCAGAAGATCGTCATTTCCATAATGTCCATCAAGAAGAAGCGCGGGGAAAGCCTTTGGGCATACATGGACCGGTTCAACTGGGAAGAGCTTGAAGTAAGGGATCTAGACCCCTCGGTCTCCATGCACATGGCCATCAACGGTCTCTGGCTTGAACCCCTCGGCTGGTCCATCTCCAAGACTTTGCCTAGAAATAAGGTTGAGTTCTTAAAAAAAGTTCAAAAATACATCACCACCGAGGAGGCCGAGGCCAACAAGTGCCTCTAGGAACCAGAGGCCAAGCCCAACTGAGGGGTCACGGACAAGAAAAGGAAGGAAATGGATGGCCGCAGCAAAGGCCACACCAAGAAAGATAGTGAGAAAAAGTCATCGGCCCCTTCCTTTAACAAATATACACTACTAAACTCCACCTGAACACATGTACTCATGCAAGTAGGGAAGGAGGAATACATGAAGTGGTCAGCCAAGCTGAAGAGGAACACTAAAAGAGGTAACCCCAAGAAGTACTACAAGTACCACTACGGCATCGACTACGATACCGAGGACTGTTATGAACTCAAGAATGAGATCATGTCCCTCATCCACCACGGGCACTTGAAGGAGTATGTCGAGGGCAACGCCGATGCCTCGTCCTTGCAGCAACAGCAACGAGCCAGGCCCCAAGCCCATCACCCCCTAGCTTGAGTTATTGAAGTCATCGTTGGGGGCTTGGCCTCGGGTGGAGCATTTGCCTCAGTCCAAAAGGCATACGCCTAGCAGTACAACATCCAGAGCTCGATGCCTAAAAGGCCAAGGTCGAAAGACACCATTTTATTCTCCAATAACGACCTACAAGGGGTCTCATTACCCCATGATGATGCGCTGGTGGTGTCTATGACTACCGCCAACTACATGGTAAAGAGAATCCTCATAGAAAATGGCTCCTCGGTCGACATCTTGTTCTACAACACTATTGAGAAGATGCAGTTGACGCTAGATCAGTTGCAACCTATGGACATGCCACTAGTCAGGTTCTCTAGAACAGCCGTCAAGCCCGAAGGGAAGATCACCCTACCAGTCACAGTACGGACTGAGCCTCGGCAAGTCAACTGGATGAATGAGTTCTTGGTTGTGAAGATAGGCTCCCCATACATTGCCATCATAGGAAGGCCGACCCTTCATGCACTCTAGGTCGCCATCTCGTCCTATCACCTCGCCATGAAGTCCCCCACTGAGCACGGTGTGGGAGTAGTCAGGGGGAACCATCAAGCTGTCAGACAATGTTATATTGCAACACTAAAAGGCAAGAACAAAGAAGTTTTACCACTGGAAGTGCTAGACCTCAAGGATGAACCAGCGAGCTGAGGCTAGCCGGTCAAGGACCTCATCTCGGCTCCCCTAGACAAGGTCGAGCCCAAGAAGACCGTTTGAGTTAGGTCATGCCTCCCTCAGGACACACTTTCCAAACTAGTAAGCTTCCTCAAAACTAATGCTGACGTCTTTGCTTGGTTTGTCACTAATATGCTAGGAATTGACCCCTCGGTCATTACTCACAAGATAAGAATGGACACGAGCTATAGGCCAGTTCGACAAAGGAAGAGGAACTTTGCACCAGAGCATTAGAAAGCCATCGGAGAGGAGGTGGATAAGCTGCTCGACACTGACTTCATCTGAGAGGTACATTATCCTAAATGGTTATCTAACGTGGTCATGGTTAAGAAAGCTAATGGGAAATGGTGTATATGCATTGACTTCACAGATCTCAACAAGGCTTGCCCCAAAGACAGCTTTCCTTTGCTAAGGATTGATCACCTCATTGACGCCACCACAGGGTACGAGTTGTTAATCTTCATGAATGCTTTCTCTAGGTACAACTAGATCAAGATGCACCTCACTGATGAAGGATGCTAGGGTCACCTACCAACGACTAGTGAACAAGATATTCAAGGACCAGATGGGGAGGAATGTCGAGGCCTGCGTTGACGACATGGTGGTGAAGAGCTTGAAGGCTAGCTAGTACACCTTAGAACTTGTCGAGACCTTTGGAGTGCTGAGGAAGTGCAACATGAAATTAAACCCCAACAAGTGTGCCTTTGGCATCATCTCAGTCAAGTTTCTGGGCTTCATGGTCACTCAGTGAGGTATAGAGGCTAACCTCGAAAAAATACAAGCCATACTCAACATGGAGCTCCCTTGGTCCATCAAGGAAATTCAGAGACTCACTGGCCAAATTGCAGCCCTCAACCTGTTCATGTCAAAGCCAGCCGACTACTGCATACCTTTCTTCCAAGCTATCAAGAAGCTGAAGGACTTCCAATGGACTAAAGAGTGCCAGAAAGCCTTTGAAGAGTTGAAGTCCTACCTCATGTCACATCCTCTACTCATGCGACCCCTCTTGGGAGAGACCTTGTTCTTATGCCTCTTGACCGGGGACGAGGTCGTCAGCACAGTTTTGGTAGGAGAAGATGAAGGAATTCAACATCTCGATACCGAAAAGTAGAGAAGATAGCCTTTGCACTGGTAGTCTTGGCCAGAAAAATGAGACCCTATTTTCAGGCTCACAACATTTCGATACTAACCAACCAGCCCCTCAAGTCAATACTCTCTAAACTAGAGACCTTGGGTCAACTAACCAAGTGGGCCATTAAACTGTCATAGTTTGACTTACACTACCAGTTGAGGGAGGCCCGCAATAAAAGCACAAGCGCTAGCAGACTTCATGGTTGAATGCACCTTCAATCGTGCCCTCGGCTAGGCCCCTAAAAAAGATGAGAGGCCTCGACCCACTTCATCTTTGTTTATGGGTAGATCCTCCAATGCCATAGTGTAACAGGGGTAGTTCTACAGCAGAAGAAACCCGTGTGGCCTCCAGGCCAAGGCAGGCCAGGACAAGCCATTATGTGATGCAAGGCTAGGAGTTGCCCGATGAGATGGC